GAAACTATTCGAGTTTGAGTTATATCGTTTTCTTTGTAGATTAATTAAGTGAAAGTTTATTCTAGTTTTATTTATTTACTTGAAAAGTAATTAAATAAAAAGATTGCTTATTTATTTGAATAATTTACATTCTGATTTTTCAATTATTAAATCTTTGATATTTAAAATAATTTTTATACATACTATGAGAAGATATATTTATATTTATATATATATATATATATATAGGTCGTTGATAAACTTATGAATTGACAATTGGAAGGTGGGAAGCTACAAATTAATAATCAAAATAAATATTATTTATTTATGAACACATCACACAGTCACACAGTCTTTAGTCCTCGCCGACACTCACTACCATTGAGTTTGTAAATTTAAAATAAAATATGTTAATTTATATACGTTAGATTCTCCATAATAAATTGTGGGTAGATCTCTAAATTTAAGTAAAAACACAGATATAACCACGGGTATGTATATACATATATATATATATATATATTTACCCACATGCAAGCACAGAATTTTAGTCACATGGTGATGCAACTAAAATTTGCAGTCCGATCTAGAAAGGTGGTAATGGTAATTTGCTACTCACGAGAATGTCCAGTGGATCCTTCGTTTGATGAGTTCGTTTTTTTTTAATAATATTATTTTTGACTACTAATAGATTGTTGTCGGCGGCAACCCTTATTAGTTATTAATTAGGACTAAATTTGTAAATTCATAATTAAATATTATCAGATTGAACAACGACTTACCCTGCTAAACTTAACCAGATATATGCCGAATTTACAGCGAAAGAGATATTTATCCACCCATCATTTCAGTTATTAAAGCTTCAACCTTTATGTTTTAAAAAGCTTGCTCTCTCTCTCTCTCTCTCTCTTCATACTACTCGAGCTGACTCCTCTACTTCGTTTTCCAACACCCTGTACAGATCTGCAGAGATACCCAATCTCAGAGTACTGAAAGAGCTCCTCAATCACCAGGTCATTTCTCATTACTTTCAATTTGTTCCGTCCTTCTTTCTCTTTCTTTTTTTTTTTTTTTTTTTGACTTGGTCTGAGTTTTGCTTTTTTATGCTTACTCTCTGTTACCTTGTGATCTGTTTGTCTAATTGGAACTGTTTTAAATTCCCTTTTTATGTCTGTCTACGACTCTACGGTAGATTTAGCTGTTTGTTTCACTTTTGGTTCATGTCATGCCTGTTCTGAGTCTCCTCCCCCTTTTCAAGTAAAAACCAGTTGCTTACTTCTACACCCATTAATCCCTACTTGTGTGTTTTGAAGGCCAAGCTCTCAGATTATTTGTTACCATCTTTTGTCATGAGCAAAAGGGAATTATTTTTTTTTTGCATTCACTTCAGAAATCTTGATCCTAAGTTGTCAAATCTAGTATATCTTTAAATAAATATGTACACATTACAATTCAAGAAAGGATTCGCGAAAGGAAAAGCACTCTTTTCCCCAAGTAAAATGGAAACACTTGGGTGGATTATTAAGAGCAGACTTTTTATTGCCTAATTAATATTGATTATTATAGCAACATATTCGCTCAATTTTGATCCATGCTCTTTTTTCCATCAACGATCTGTGTGTACACAGATCCTTTTTATGCTATATTATGTGTCAATTGTTTCATCTTTTCTCCCGCCTTAACTAATCTCCTTGGGGATCTTATCTTATGCTTCTCTTCTAAAATGGAATCTTTAAACTTAATTATTGACTTTCTGATTAGTTCCCATTATTTGTCTACGATCTATCTGTCATATACTCCGCTAATATCTGGGAGTTCATGTGGCAAGGATCTATACATTTAGTTTTGCAGACTACTTTAACAAAAAAGTTATACTTTAAACCTTATAAGTTATCAGGTGTTCCATCCATGAATCCATATGAATCCTTTATCTTCTCTTTATCTTAGTTCTCACAAATCTTAGTAATCCATTACTGCTCAATGATGGGCCATTTTATTTACTCATAATTAAACTTAGTGAGAAATTATCTAAGTTTTTTCTTCCAATTGGCATCCTAATTAATTTAGGAAACCTATTTATTATGTCTGTTGAGGTTAAGATTAATTCATCCATATCGTTTCACAATATTAATAGAATTTCATCACATTTATTTTCATTGGCGTATATACAGTGTAATAATGGATGCTGAAATTGCTAAAAGATTATGATAAAATTCTCTGGAGATAAATGCTTTACAATAAGTGATAATGAGTTAGTGATTGCTAACTACACTGCATCTTACAGGACACTTCAGGGAGTTTCTCCCAACCATACTATGGGCTCTAAGCATAATTCACCTGGCAACAGAACACGTCCACTATCTATATTCGTGGTGATAGGTTTATGCTGTTTCTTTTACCTACTGGGAGCATGGCAGAAGAGTGGTTTTGGAAAGGGAGATGGTATAGCAATGCAAATAACAAAGCAGACAGACTGTAATGTCTTCACCAATTTGAACTTTGAAACTCATCACAACAACGTAGAGATTGTTGAACCTCCCAAGCAAAATACTGTAGTGTTCAAGCCATGTGATGCTAAATACACTGATTACACTCCTTGTCAAGAACAAGACCGGGCCATGAAATTTCCAAGAGAGGATATGATATATAGAGAAAGACACTGTCCACCTGAGGAGGAAAAATTGCATTGTCTAGTTCCTGCACCAAAAGGATATATGACACCATTTCCATGGCCAAAGGGTCGCGACTATATCCACTACTCTAATGTTCCTTATAAAAGCTTGACAGTAGAAAAGGCTGTACAGAACTGGGTGCAGTTTCAGGGAAATGTGTTCAAATTTCCCGGTGGAGGAACGATGTTCCCTCAAGGTGCAGATGCATATATTGACGAATTAGCTACAGTTATACCGATTGCAGATGGCTCTGTTAGGACTGCACTGGATACCGGTTGTGGAGTATGTTAATTCAAGAATTATTTTACCTTTATCTCATTGGTATTGCTGACATTTCTCTGCAAGCCTGCATCCGTGCTTGTCACGTCTTTATCCTCGATTATTTTTTAAAGCTCGATTCTTTTACTTTACTTTCACCTTCATTCCGTTTGCTATTTTTAAAGCTGTAATTTTTTTTTGGGTGACCCTTGAGAGTCCAATTAGTTAAATCCATTGTGGTTCAGTTTTTATTCACCTATGGTCGTGTGCACATGAGATGTCTTTGTCATCATCATCCTCCTAACTGTTGTTTTATAGTCACCTTATTTGAGATATTTATGGCTTTGGATAACATTTCATATAAGATAGTGAAGCAAGGTATCTCTTTGTGTGCACTGTTTCCCATAAGGAAACATATATGATGAATATTCCTTTAATCAATAGCCAAAAACAACTGATTTTTAGTTGTCTGGCTTCTTTGTTCACTAGGGTTTTATTGGAACTGATACGATAATAATGATGCAGGTCGCAAGCTGGGGTGCATACCTGCTTAAAAGAAATGTGTTGGCTATGTCATTTGCACCACGGGACAATCATGAAGCACAGGTGCAGTTTGCGTTGGAGCGAGGTGTACCTGCTGTCATTGGAGTTCTTGGATCAATACGCCTTCCATACCCATCAAGATCATTTGATATGGCTCAGTGCTCTCGATGTTTAATACCATGGACGTCAAATGGTGAGTGCATAAAATCACATTTTTCTTTTATATTCTCATGCTTTTTGGTAGCAAGATTTGCTTTAACACGAATTTCATGACACTTCCAAGCAATGTTTGAGTAGGGGAGAGGGATGGAAAATTATAGAAATTGTACAGGTTAAATATTTAACCTTAATCGGGAAGGATTTTGGTAACAAAATGGAAGGATTATTTGGGGGAGGATGGGTAGAAAGTATAATGGGAGTTAAATGTTAATCTTTTGATGACTGATTAACCCTGGATAAATTCTTTAAACCCAATTATTTTCCGAACTCTGTTCTCCTTTTGTTAACCTCCTATCCAAACAAGATACAGACTCTGTTTGGTTCTACTTCTTGGGTAAGTTTTTTTTCAATAATATTACTTTTAGAAAATTAATGTTTGGCAATTTATCTCTTACTTGTTTTTTTCTAATTTTCAATAGGAAAAAAAGATCTGAATGCTTTCGCTAAGTAACCAAAATTTTCAATTAACGTATTACATGGTTACTTTCTCAAATCAACAAAATTTTGCTCCAAGGAAAGCAAGTAACAATTATTTAAGAGGTTTAATTACTTATACCTGCAATCTTTCCAAAAGAGTAATATGGAATGTAGAATTATATTTTAATCTAGAAAATAAAAACTTTTCCTTAAACATAATGTAAATTATATTTAATTGTATTCTCATAATATTTTTAAATGTATTGTTAACAAGCACAAACATCTTGTACAGTCTCCAATAGTACTTTACCAAAAACATTTTACCAAACACTACCATTAGTTTTAATGACAACATCTCATTATTACTGGTACTGCTACCCTATTCAAACAACCTGAGCTTAAACATTCTGCTTCATTCCATTTCATTACTTACACCCTGTCCCAATAAAATCTCAAATTCTAGAGGAATCTTTCATATACAATGTTGAAATTACCTATAGTATTTACTCAAGAGGGCGAGGGATGCTACCAAATTGTCAATTTGGCAGTTCCTGCAAGAATGCAGGAGTAAAAATTCCTAGTTACTGCATGTATCTACCACTACCATTGTTGGCATTCTGATACCATGTTACAATTATTTGTTAATTACACATGACTTTAACTTCCTCAAACAAACAAAAGAATTTGAATAATGAGACCTAAATCCTGCTGCAAATTCTTTATACCTGCTGTGTGACGATGGTGTTTTCATCTCTGGATTTCTTATATAGATGGGAAGTATCTAATGGAAGTTGACCGGGTTCTCAGACCTGGTGGATACTGGATATTGTCGGGTCCTCCAATTAATTGGAAAACCTACTACCAAACATGGAAGCGCACCAAGAAGGATCTCCAGGCTGAACAGAATAAAATTGAAGAGCTTGCAGAGCTCTTGTGCTGGGAGAAAAAATATGAAAAGGGAGATATTGCCATATGGAGAAAGAAAATAAATGACAAGTCCTGCAAGAGGAAGTCCTCAGATATGTGCCAAACTGAGGACACTGATGATGTCTGGTGAGTGCTTTCCTGTGATTGATTTAGACTGTATTTCTATTTTTTGCTTATATTCTATTCATTGCCAAGTAGTTCACAAAGTAGTCTTTTAAATAAGATCCTGGTGCTGTGTTCATTAGTTTCTATTTTATTGATACTTATTCTGATGTTCGTGGATTACTTTGTGCGGCTTCCTTAGTAGCATGTATTGGGGGGCTTCCGCCAGGAGTTGATGTCTTAAATTACAATGTATTGATTTGTTACTTTGGTTTAGAATATAGGATGTAGGGACTGGTTGTTAGGAAGTGTAATTCAAGAAAAAATGAAGTAAAATTAAGAAATACTGAATAAAACAGTTTGACCCCTAATATCGTTAGTCATCTTCGAATGTCCATTCCCTGTTATTCTCTGTTTTCTAATATATTGGATGCTAAATAATATAATGGTTCGGTTGAGTATAGAAAGTTTTGTGGTTAAACTATAAGAAGATCATATTTCCATGTTATCAAACAAAGAATGTTCGTATTTTAGTAATTTTTTATTCTTAGTCTTTTAGTATTTCCATCCTAAGTTTTCTTGGTGATGTATCATAGGTACAAAGAAATGGACACGTGCATAACACCTTTCCCTGAGGTAACCAGTCGAAATGAAGTTGCAGGAGGTGAACTAAAGAAGTTTCCAGCAAGGCTTTTTGCAGTCCCTCCTCGGATATCTGGTGGATTGGTTGAAGGTGTCACAACTGAATCCTTCCAAGAGGACAATAAAATTTGGAAAAAGCATGTAAGTGCGTACAAAAGGATCAATAGATTGATTGGCACTACAAGATACCGGAATGTTATGGATATGAATGCCAATCTTGGGGGATTTGCGGCAGCACTTGAATCACCAAAGTCTTGGGTGATGAATGTTGTGCCTACAATTGCAAAGAATACTTTAGGCATTGTTTACGAGAGAGGTCTAATAGGAATCTATCATGATTGGTACGTTCCCTTCTTTCTATTATTTAAAATCTCCTTGTTGCATATCCTTTTTCTTGTGTTGGTGCCATTAATCACAAAATAAGCTAAAAAATTCTAAATTTTTAATCTATAAAGTTCAGATTCTTGCAAGCTTACTATATCTCCCTCTTCAATTAAAAAAGAGTGGTACAATTTGGGAGAAAACTTAAATTTTAAGATTACAAACTTGCTTTTGGCCTTTGTACTGATTCTACTCTATCATAAAGTCAAAAAGACCATACGGGAACCAAGGAAATAAATGAATCCTTATTGATTCAATTTGTTTTATATCACAGGTGTGAAGGTTTCTCTACGTATCCTAGGACCTACGACCTTATCCATGCTAATGGTGTATTTAGCTTGTACCAAAATACGTAAGCCTCTTAACTCGTGCACTGCTATGCTGTTGTCATTGTCTTCTTACATGCTATCATAAATTTATTTTTGGAGTCCTATAGTGCAATAATATAGAGTTTATCACTGTTTTGATCCTTGATGAAAATATTTTCCCGGAATGTATTGTTCAGGTGCAAAATGGAAGACATCCTTCTGGAAATGGACCGCATCCTGCGGCCTGAAGGGTCAGTCATCTTCCGAGATGACGTAGATGTTCTGAACAACGTTAGAAAAATCGCAGCAGGCATGAGATGGGATACCAAAATGGTGGATCACGAGGATGGTCCCCTAGTGTCGGAAAAGATACTGGTTGCTGTCAAGCAGTATTGGGTTGGAAGCGGGGGAAACAGCACGTCTAATGATGAATAAAGTGTTGTTTTACATTGGTTTACAGGTGAAATCTGTTGAAAATGATGATTAAATTGGTATGGCAAGAGAGGAACTGAAGAGTTCTGATCCCTGCAAAGATAGTTGTAAGTGATATAGAGCTCATATATACTTGGGGATGAAAGTAGGGTTATGGCATGTAACATTTTATTCAGAAGCTGCTTAAATAATTAGCAATTAGCAAGGAGCATATATTCTCATGTGTTCTGTTTATTTCACTAAAAATAAAATCAAAGAAGAAAACTGATAATTGATGTTATAAGCTTGAGCTTATAGAATTTACACATATTATTGAATTCAGTGGGTTTTAATGCAAACTACTTAATCCCTTATTCAACAGAAATTGAAAAGAGACACCTTATAATATAAACAAATAATTTTTTATATTTTATATAATATTTCATTACATTGAACAATATATTCATTGTTATTTAGATTGAACATATTATATGTATTAAAAAAAAAAATTAGATATATTCATAGTTGAATTTATAGTCTCAAATATAAAAATATGGTACCCCCATCTAAATCCTGGAGTTGTCAAATTATGATTTAATTAAAAAACAATAATTAAAGTATCCATTTATAGAGAAATTCTTTTTCTAAAAGAAAAAAGGTGTATATACATATATATATATATATATATATATATATAAACACACATATTTGAATTATGTAACTTGCACTAAACACATTTAGTATTGGAAAGTAGTGCAAATCAAGAAAAAGAAAAAGTTAATTGAAGCTTCTTTACGAGACAAAACAAATCAGATTTTTGTTAATAAAAATGTGTTTCATTTATTAAGTGATATATATATATATACACACACACACACACACATTAATTATAATATAATATTTTAATAAAAATATAAAACTTACTTAAATTCATATTTTTTTTATGAAAAAAATAAAAATAACATTCATCTAATTTTTTTTTAAAAAAAAAGTTAGTTGAACAGTTGAAGATTAGTAGTTGATGTTATAAGTTGAAGGTTAGATTATTGACTTAATGTTAAGAAGATTAGGTTGCTTAATTGTGGATTTCTAAGAATTTTAAAAATAATATCTGCAACAAACTGTGGATTTATGAATTAATATCCTTAAAACAATATGTTGATTAAAAAAACATTAATCAATAAATCCACTTTTAGAAAAGGCGTGAAAAAGTAAAAGAAGATACACTCAGAAAAAAATTATTAAATAATATATTTATAATATAATTTTTTAATTAAAATATTTGAAACTATAATTTTTTATTTTTTATTTTTTAAAAAGGAAATAAATGCTGGTAAGGAAAAGAAAAAGTTAATTGAAGCTTTCCTTAGCAGACAAGACAATCCGCCTAACTCCATCCATGACGACACTCTCAACTCAAAACCGTATATATATATATATATATAGATATATAATATCGAATTATATGCATAAGTATTCAGCATCCACTTACTACAAATATATATATATATATATATAATTTCCAATACAAACGACGCCATTATTACTACTCCACTTCCTTCAGACAGATATCTGTAACATCTGCAGATTCTACACGTTTTAGGCTATATATAGAGATATATGTATGCACGTATGTATGTTTTTAAGGTATAGGTGAGACCTGCAATTAAGACGATGATGGGAGGAGCAGGAGCTGGCGTAGCTTACGCCATGTGGAAGTTGCATCAGGAGCAAATAAATAGGGAGCAAGAGAATTTGGGAAATGCTACTCGTCGTCCTCGCAAACCAAGCCCTAAGCCTGGCTGTTTCTTCTTCTGGATTTTTCGAATGACTGGTGCCGCTAAGGTTTCCTCCATTGATTCTCATCATCAACAACCGTAGAGAAACATTAACGCTGCGATTGATCCAGATCGTCCACATATCATTTTCGATCTTTGTTTCTGTAGAAGTTGGATTTGTGTTTTCCTCTTCCTTTTTCATTAAAGCTGAATATTTGTAAATACTGCTCCCCCTTTGAAACAGCTCATAGGTCTCTAGTAAATCTAAATTGTACAAAATGGTTTGATTATTTTTTTGTTTAGCATCCAAACCATACCTTCCTTTTCAAACTTTCACCACCAAACATTCAAGGGCCACAAATATATAACACAGTATCTATCTTAATCTCTTTATCAAGATAACAGGATCCTTAATCAACTTTGAAATCCTATGTTGAAACATGGAGAGGTCGAAGAAAATTCCACATAATTAGACACTAATTTTTATCATTCAAACTCAGGATTACCATAGTATCTTCCGCAGACAAACTGATTATGTTTGTCCTCAGTGCATCGCCGAAACGATGTTATATCAAATCAAACGTAACTGTCAATTAATGATTTCCTCATCTCATCCACAATCGCGCTCGGCTGTGCTTCTCTCAACTTGAAGATGGTTTCCACCACAGAAAGTTCTGTTGCCGTGGTGTCTGAACCGCAGAAAGCCGTCCAGTCATTTACTGTCATTCCAGCAGCTATTACTTCGCTACCCCGGTTAACAGTGCCAGCCACTAATGGAACCTGAAGAAGAGTTGAAAGTTCATCCAAATCTTCTACTGAGGTATGCGGATGAACCTGCTCAAATGCAAGAATTTTAAGGGGCAAGTTAAACAACGCTCAAATGCAAGAATTTTAAGGACCAAGTTAAACAACGATTATTGCTGGACAAGTTATAAAACAAACAAAATCTTTCCTATTGGAGGGACTTACCAAGCCACCTCTGTTGGAGAAGGCACAGTAGCTGCCCACAAGAATATTGCCAGCAATTGTCTGCCGGAAAACTTCCACACCGAGGACATCTGCAATTATCTCCTCGGTTTCCTGAGCATATTTGACACAGAATAATAGCATACTTTAACATCTCAAGTAACAATTTCAATGAGATCATGCTAATTTGCCATAGAAAGTTTTGCCAAAAGAATCTCAGAGCAGACAAACATTACACTCAAAATAAAAATCAAATACTGCCAAATTGTCTCCGACATATCTCAGAAGGTTCTTGACGGAAAATATCAAAATGCATATTACTTAGCATCCATTTCCAGAGCACAAGAGATGTGATGAACTGGCATACCCAAGATAAAGAAAATACAAACCAGTAGCCTGGGTAAACCGAAGTTAGTGGCAAAACTGAAGTTGTTATGATTAGATAAGTGAGATTAAAAGATTTAATACAAGGATTTCCAGTAACCAAGTCAAAACCCGTTTCACATGCTCAGGAATAACACAGCAATAATTTTATCAGTTCTTTAAAATAACATACTAAAGATTAATCTTAAGGAATAACAGAAATTTACCCGGTCCAGATCAGTGTGTGCAAGAGCAACATGGTCATTGCAAGCAATACAATTCCCTAGAGCAGATAGTCTCTCCTCTATCCGCTGAACAACAACTTGATCAGGTAGACTGTTCCTTAAGTGTTGAAGCTCTTCAATAAGAAAAATGCAAAAATAATCCTATCAACATCATGAAAAAAAAAATCCAAGTATGATACATATATACACACATATATCAAAACTAGATTAATTTTTTAGTAAAAATTTATACATTTTATTAATTAAATGATACACACACATTAATCATAATACAACCTCTTAATGAGAACACACAGGGAAATACAACCGACTTAAACCTACAACTTCTCATAGAGGGACAGAAGTACTAATTATCCAACCAAGGTAGTCATTGGCTGAACAGGTCATCACATATAGCAATACCAAGCTTTGTGCCATGGTAGTCACTGGTTCATAGTGAAATTTTCTTTTCAAGAGAGCTAATCAGAAAGTCAAATCTATAGCTACAGTGGGATTTAAATTCTTTTCAAGAGAGCTTTAATCGGTCTCT